TGTAAACTATATAATTAATTCGCGAAGAAGCTACATTTATTTAAAACAACCCTGTTCCACGAGCACTTTCAAGATCATCAGACGCAGGGCCTTTAAAACATCTGCGAACCAGCGCATGCAGAGTGGCAGCGCAGAGTCAGGGTCGCGAGAGAATTTGCCGACCGCCCAAAGGCCTATGATATAAATGCCACTTCAAATGCCTTGAAAGCGGGATGTAATATCGTCTTAAATCATGAACGTGCAAGGAACAGAATTCCAGCGTCTGAAACACTCGCGCCACCGCTTCACCGACCCCTCGCAAGATTGCCTTGTGTCGTGTGGACGGACGGGGAGGTTCATCGGCGGAATTGCCTCCGCCGATAGCTTTCGGAATTTTTAACCCAATTCTAAAGTTAAAAGGGACAAGCAGGCTTATAAAATGTACGTCAATACCGGCCCAACTCAACGTCTTTTACACCGGGTAAACGAAGTCCAGCTCCTCGAAGAGCTTGCGGCACACAACGCCGAACCAGGAAACCGGTGCTGGGAAGCGAGCCGATGCGAGATCGCGGAGCGGAGTCCCCTCCCTGACGTCACGGAACACCTCACCCAATCCGGGCGCGGCGACCGCAGCGACGCTTGTGTTCGCTCTCAGGGCTAATATCCTTGAACACTTCGATCCATCAGCGGAAACGGAAGTTCACATGGACTCCAGCAACGCCGGACTCTGCGCGGAACTCGTCCAAAGACAAGACGGAGCAGAGAGGGTGACCGCTTATGCAAGCCGGGCACTGCCCAAGGCTGAGAAAAATTACTCAACGACTGACAAGGAATGTCTCGCTGTCATCTGGGCGTTAACCAACTTCCGCCCGTACCTGTACGGGATTTTGTTCCGCGTTGTGACGGACCACCACGCTCTCTGCTGGCTCGCCAACCTCTAGGACCCGTCAGGACGCCTCGCTTGCTGGAGCCTTCGACTGGAAGAACTCGACCCAGCCACTGTGCATAAGTCTGGCCACAAGCATAACGACGCCGACAGTTCGTCTAGGGCTCCAGTCGAATCTCCTCAAGAAAGCACCGACGACGACGATGACGTCCGTTTTCTCAGCGCAATTACAGATACCTACATGGGAGCACTTCAACGAGACGACCCGAAACTTCGCGCCGTGATCGACCATCTCGAAGGTCAAGGAAGTTTAGTTCTGCATGTCCCGGCCCGAGACTTGTCAAGCTTCGTTCTATGGCGAGTCGTGCTCTTCAAGAAGAACTTCGGAACGAGCTACCCTGCCTAGCTGCTGGTTGTTCCTGCCAGCCTTCGCGAAAAAATCTTTCAAGCATGCCACGACAACCCGACGGCTGGACACCCAGGCTACAGCCGGACGCTCGCGCGTATTCGTGACAAGTACTTCTGGCCGAGACTCCCGAAAACAGTCCATCTGTGCACACGATCGTGCCATGAATGCCAACGACGTAAGAGGCTTCCGATGAGGCCAGCAGGACTCCTGCAGCCGATTTCTTCCCCGACTACGCCGTTTCAGCAGGTCGGAATGGATTTACTTATGTCCTTCCCAACATCGACGCAAGGAAACCGGTGGATTATTGTCGCGACCGATTATCTTACACGATAATCCGAGACGAAAGTCCTGCCATCGGGAACAGCGGTGGAAGTCGTCAAGTTTTTTTTCGAGTCCATTCTCCTTCGACACGGAGCACCTGAAGTGGTGATCACAGATCGATGATCATCTCTCATGGCACAGCTGACTCAAGAGGTTCTTCGGCTCAGTCACACCAGCCAACGACAAACCACCGCTTATCATCCGCAGACCAACGGACTAATGCAGCGGCTCAACAAGACGATTGCCGTCATTATCTCCATGTACGTCGACGTGAAGCAGAATACGTGAGACGGAGTGTTGCCGTACGTTACGTTTGCGTACAACACAACAGTGTAAGAAACCACGGGAGTGACGTTGTTTCAAGTGGTACACAGCCGGGCGGTTACCACGATGCTTGACGCCATGCTGCCTCACGTGCCAACCGATGATGGCAACGACAACGCTCAACTGATCTCTCAACACGCGGAGGAAGATCGTCAACTGGCAAGAATCACGATTCAAGACCAACAGCGAGTCGACTCACGCCGGCATAACCTTCGTCGCCGAGACGTCCACTTTCAACCCGGAGACCGGGTATGGGTTTGGACATCGATACCGCGCCGCGGACTCAGCGAGAAGCTTCTGAAACGCTATTTCGGGCGCAACAAGATCATCCGACGCCTCGGCGATCTGAACTACGAAGTTCGTCCCGACGAAACGCTCCCATCTGCAAGACGCCAGCCAATACCGGAGGTGGTGCACGTTGTCCGGCTCAAGCCGTATTACCAACGGTAGAACTTTGGACTCTCGTCAAAAAGTGAACTGTGAACCATGGCTCTCGATTATGCTGCACTTTTGTTGTGAATTTGTGTTTTCGTTTTGTGCTGCATCGGGACGATGCATTTTTTTAAAGGGGGAAATAATGCCGCGCGCGAAGGTGATCAAGCAGCAGCGCGCTAATGGACTAATGGTTATCGCGCATTCCTTCCACGAAAAAGGGAAGGATTCGATGCCTGGCCGCGGTTGCACATTTTTGTTGACTGTGGAGTGTGATGTTCTGGTAAATTGGAGAACAGTGTTGGGCTTGTCCTTGGTCAGAATGTTCTTCGCGCCGAAACCTCTAGGCCGATTGTTCCAGAAGCGCACGTGTGTACAAAAGGGGCTTCGCATGGCGAGCCGGGGGTCCGTCTCGCCCCAGCGTTCGATCCCGCTGTTACGATGACTTCGACGCGCGCGACGCTCTATTATTATCTTTTATTTCCTTCTTTCTCTTTGGCGCAAGTTCGCCCAATAAACATTTAGTTTGCTTCAGTTTTTGTCGCCTCATCACTTGCCGTTCGTGACGATATTGCTACCTTAGTTTATATATTTTGTAATAACTTTATATAATTTTTTCTGTGTTGGATTCAAAGTATTTTTATTGCTTCGTTCCCCCTTATGCAATGCCTTTTGGGTGCATAGAAGTAATTAAAATAAATTATATCTATTTTGGAAAGGAAAAATGAAAGCCGTTAACAAATCCCTGTAACGCCGAATCGGAGCGCAGCTCTTGAGGAGGAGTAGGGAAGGGTACTGAGGGGGGTCAGATCACCTGCGGGTAGTCACGTGGCCCCGGGGGGTCACGTGATCTCGGGGGAGGGGGGTCACGTGACCTCGGGGGGGGGGGGGGGGTCACGTGCCCTCGGAAGGGGGGTCCCATGACCTCGGAGGGGGGTCACGTGACCTCGGGGGGGGGGGGGGTCACGTGACCTCGGAGGGGGGTCACGTGACCTCGGGGGTGGGCGTCACGTGCCCTCGAAAGGGTGGTCACGTGCCCCCGGAGGGGTGGTCACGTGCCCTCGGAGGGGGGGGTCACGTGACCTCGGAGGGGGTCACGTGACCTCGGGGGTGGAGGGTCGCATCTCTCGGAAGGGGGTCACTCGACCTCGGAGGGGGGTCACGTGACCTGGGGGGGTCACGTGACCTCGGAGGGGGTCACGTGACCTCGGGGGGGGGGCACGTGCCCTCGGAAGGGGGTCACGTGGCCTCGGAGGGGGTCACGTGACCTCGGGGAGGGGGGTCACGTGACCTCGGGGGGGGGGGGGTCACGTGACCTCGGAGGGGGGGGTCACGTGCCCTCGGAGGGGGTCACGTGACCTCGGGGGGGTCACGTGCCCTCGGAGGGGGCACGTGACCCCCCCCGAGGGCGTCACGTGCCCGCGGAGGGGTGGTCACGTGCCCTCGGAGGGGGGTCACGTGACCTCGGAGAGGGTCACGTGCCCTCGGAGGGGGGGGTCACGTAACCTCGGAGGGGGGTCACGTGACCCCCCCCCGGTTACGCCGACGCCGACGCCGACGCCGACGCCGCTCAGGCTGGAAACGGGCCCCTAAGAGCTGCGCTCTAAAACCAGGAAGCGGCTTCCCGACCACTGTACGTTGCCGGCGTCCGCCCTCCCGCCGGTGACGTACAGGAGTATGGAAAAGTAAGAATGTCTTAAACGTGTCAGTAGAACGTTCCCTGCTCGAACGCATACCACCGAAGTTAGTCGTAAATTAAATACCTCCACTACAACGTTCATTTATATAAAATGTTTAGCCAACCTGGTCAGAAAGGGCTATTGATACGGTCTGCTAATTTACAGTCAAATCGAGGGCTATGAAAAATCGGCGGAGTTGCCGTTTGAGGATTGGTTAGCGCACCTGGCTTACCGAAGATAGTATGTTCAATTCGGATTTTAATTCTGCGTCACGAACCTAGTCAACCTCACTCTCAGACGCTATAAAAAAGAAAAAAACCGCATCAACAGATATGCTAAAATATGTGCATACTTTTTTTCTTCTTTTTAAGTTCCTTTGGACGCTCTCTGACGCACATCGACAGAGGCAACATGGTTCAATACCGGACATGTACGATGAAATTCTGCAGCGCCGGTTTCATGGTCCCGTCTTTGGAGCTTCGCAGGCGTTAGTGCGTGTCTTCTACCAGACCATGTCCAGCGCTGCAGCACTTACGCTCGCACGACTAGCTGGTGGGGTCAGACGGCGGACTAGATGCAGCGGGCGTGGCGACAAGTAGATATTGGGCTTGCGAACTTCTTTGACTGAGCAACCAAGCGAATCCACTAGTTATGGGCAAGTCGCCGTTCTAGAGCGGGTCGTCTCCTGCAATTAACTTTTGTAACGCAACGAGAATATTGCGGGTAAAATATTGCTTCGCTGAAACTTTTTGTGTTATATTATACGTCTGTCATTTAGGCACTTTTACGAACTCTTCTTTTATTCAAGTGTTCTTTTAAAACGACGGTAGGTTGTATATCTCACCAGGAACAGGTATTCCTCGTAATCAATCGGACCCCCACCCACTGAGGCACAGACCGCGGTTGATCAAAAGCAACATTTTGAAAAGAACCCATCAAAGCCGATATTTACAGGATAAATATAACTTACTAGTACAATGGTGAGAGCCAAATAAGTTACTAAATCTTCTCTCCGGCTAAACACTTTGTAATGATGCTCATCCACCATCACGTGAACTTCCACCAAAAATTGATCCGGTACGTGCTCCATAGATGCGGCACCTGAAATCAAAACGCTGTTATAAATGCTCGAGAAGAAAAATCACCAGTTTTAATTGCCTGCATACGCAAAAATCAAAAAAAGGAAAATTTTTAGGTTGATTGTCATCGTGAAATTTTTTTGCCTGGATTATTTTGTGCGCTCTATAAGACGTAATAAAATGCATATTTAGAGAAAAAATGTGTTGTATAAATTTGTGGATTGTTTTCGTTCTCCTTCATTCAATGAAATAATCAGGGCTCACTTAAAACATAAACAACCTTTATATGTGATGATGCAGGTTACCGCATTAAAACGTAAATTCCTTTGTTGTTTATATTAGTCGTAGGTGGTGCCAAAGGTCGTTGGAGAGCCGCCATGTTTGTAATTATTTCTGACGCGACTGCTTCTGGTAGTCATTCTTGTCACGATCGGCCGAGATCGCGCATGAGGAGGTCGAGGCACCCGGAGAGAGAAGAGACGACCAGCCGCTTGGTGATGATGAAGGACGACTGTCCCCCGCGGCTGTGATCGCCGGTGATGGGATGGATACATAAATGCAAATGACTGGACCCCTTATATCGGGCGATAGCTTGCGCCACCTAGCCTAGCAGTTAAGAACTAAAGGTATGCTTCCTTTCTTTCGCCCATTTGCTTACCCTCTGCAGTTTTTGACTATCACCAGGTGGTGTGGGATGTCATCAGAATGACCTTCGAAAAATAGGGGAAAAAAACAAATTCACGCCCCGCCCCCCTCTCTTTCTCGCCTCCCCCCCCCCCCCCCCGGCTCTTCCTCCCGGCAAGGTCAAAACTATGGTCGGCGTTACCCCGGCACTGGGCCCACTGGAAGACAGGGTGGATACTCTGGGCCGGAACCACGCGGGAGGGAGTCCGAATTTTCCTCTGTCCTGCCTGTCCCCAGTCGTGTCATCTAGTTGTACGCCGTTCAATTCTCCCTAGATAATTTCCACCAGTCTTCCGTCTCCTTTTTGCCTATAAAATACATTTATCATCTATACTTCCATTCTCGTCTGCGAACCCTGGTGCTCCGGCCAAATCTGTCACTCCCTACGGGAGGGCGGGAGCAAGTCCTGTGAACGTCAACACCACATGTTCTATAGTCTCGGCTTCCCCTTGGCACACAGCACACCGCGTATCGACTCCCCCATAGTTTGTCCTAGATATCCTAGTCTTCAATAATCCTGTTCTAGCCTCGAACCACGCATTGGCGACATTCGCACCTAGTAAAGAAACCATACGCGTGCGTATTCAACTCGAAGTACACACTTTGTGCTTGACGTTTGCGCGAGCGATGGCTTCAGCCACGAGAAGGGAGCGACGGCTCGGCGACGTCTTCGTGCAAGTCGGCTTGGTAGTCGGGCGTATCGTACGGGGCGAATACCAATTCTTTTGATCGGTCGCAAATTTCTCTTTCAAAGGCGGACGGATTTCGCCGGTACCGCGAACGACAGTTCTGAAGTAAAGGTGCCACGCCCGTCGCCCGCTGCCATCGCCGTCCACGCGAGTCCCACAAAGCGCGAAACGACGCACGCACAGAATGCTTCCGGTTCTCTGTGAAAATTGTTTTTTTAATCAACGTATTTGCAGCTTTTTAGAAGCCACAAAAATGGGTTTCATATTTTTCTTTTTTTCATTTTTAATATTAAGTGTGTGCCTTCAGTGGCCAACGACTTTGATTAAATTTAGTCTTTGTGTCTAAACCTTAGAAAACGGCACGTGTCCAGCTGCCGTTAGAAACGGCAGCTGGACACAAACGTTAAAGCGGGGCTGCCTGGCCTGGCCCATGGCCAACCCCGGAGCGGTCCACCAGCGGGATCTGGACAACTCCTGTGGGAACGGCGAGCCCTGGCCATATGACCTGGGCTACGAAGATCCCGGGGTAATTCCGCAGCGAGACTCGGGCATTAATAGCCCGGGACAGCCAGCCTACGCAGCACTGGTGTGGGAAAGGCGATTCGCATGCCTGGGCACGGACTCCGACTGTGTGCTCTGATCGACGGGCGACAACAAGGGTCGGCGTGCCCGGACTGCCGGCTCTCGACGACGAGCAACCGGGAGGTACACTAAACCCATTCGCTGTCTTCTCGTTGTGTTATGTCACTCCCTGGGTGACGGGTGGAGCGCATACCGATCGGGCGGCGAATATTAGTGGAGGGATTTCCGTAAAGAACCCCACAAACTAAAAACCTTGGCTAGCTTAAATACCCTGCCAGCGTCCCTTTAAGGACCGCCTTAATGCCCCAATTCATAGACTCCGGTCTTCCTGGTTTCCGTGGCCGGTGTTAAGTGAAGTGGTGAGTGTCTTGGTTAAGAAAGTAAATGAACTAGTAAGCCCTAGGCGCCATGCTGAGAAAAAACGGGTGGTAGTGGTACCGTACTTACGCAAGGTATCGCATAACCTAAAACATGTAGCTCAGCGATATGGCGTACCGGTTGTTTTTCCAGACGTCCAAACATATGTGCAACAAAAAATGTCTCATCGTTTACGCCCTGTACCTCGTGTGTGGTGTACAGCATCAGGTTGTCGTGTGGTAGAACTTATGTCGGACAGACTGGACGGTATATTAACGACAAGCTTTGTGAACATTACCTATTACTTAAATCCAACGTAGCTGGTCACTTGCCTTTACACTGCGGTAATTGTTAATGTGGTCCAACTCTGGCTAACACTAATATTATAGGTAGATATCAGGCAAAAATTAAAACAAATTTATGAGGCGCTTAATATACATGGTTTGGGGGCGGGCTATGTCAGTCAGCCATCCGTGGCTTTATCACAAAAGAAAATATCATTTTTAAAACGTTAAAGATCTAAAGCTATCGCCTCGCGTTCCAGATTTCGCTAGCTATTAGCACGGGTCTTTATATTCTGTGTCATTTTCTTTATTCTACTCTTTGGAAGATATATTGAGTTGTGAATGTCGGCGTCTTTTTTGTCTTCTGTTTTCTTCAACAGTTTCCTAATGTTGTTCGCTAATTTTAATAATGTTCGAGATCTCCTATTTTATTTGCAAAACACGTATGTGAAACTATAAGCTAAAACTTTGTAATTTTCCAACATAGTTACCATATACTCCTAATAATTTTTGGCAACATCGACAACACGACATCACAAAACCTATAGTCACATCGTTCTTTCCATTTGTGAATGTATTTCATTATTATTCCTACGCTAAACTTCGTAATTCTTCATTTACTTGCATTTCCGTACGTGCTGAGGAAGTTGGCTAGGAGGAGCTCCTGAATACGGGTTATGGTCGTACCTGCTAGTCTTGCGTGCCTCCTATGCTCCTCCCTTTTTCAGAGAGATAAATATAATTAATTGATTAATTTAAATATTGATTTACAGAATGAGTGATTGATTGAATGTTTAACCGCGTGGTCAAAGGTCGGGTAACACAAGTACCCGACCTTAAGTGCAGAGTGCCAAAAAGTGACAGTCATCCACTCCTTCCCTTTGTTTTTATCTCTCTCTCTCTCTCTGTTTCTTTTCTTTTAATCTGTCTCTCCTCTAACCCATTCCTCAACCCTGAACTGGCTCGCCCCCATTTTTAGGAGTGGCCAACTGTTCAGGTTTTCCTTTCTAATAAAACGCTTACTACTACTACTACAAGGCCAGGGGAGTGGGCAAGAAGTGAAATCGATTTAAAACTGCTTTCTTAAATAAACTTTCAGGTCAATGGCCCATGATAAGCCTGAGCGTTGTCTGTATGCAAGATCACAACTTGGGACTTTTCCTTTCGTCTTTACTTTTGGGGAAAATATATATTTTTTGCATAATCCTTTTTGCAGAATGCAACCATCACTGACGTGCACTTCGGACTAGATTGGGTGAGGGTGACGCCTGTATTCTCCTCGAACATGGCAACAGGCGCACTGTCGGTAGCACGAAACATAGGTTACAGAGAGTCGCAGTGCCCCATTGTTGCTTCTGCCACTTGGACTAATGATAAGAAAAGAGTATTCACCTTTCGTTCTTTTGGAACATTGATAAAATTAAACTAATATTCACGCCGTCATTACGCGAAAAAATCGCCGAAGCACACACATTTGACAAAAACCTATATTTCTTCGCTGCTCGCAGAATTGAAACGTCGCTATTTTGAGTATTTGAAACATGTGTGAGACCACGACCTTCTTTATAATTACGACCAATCCACTGCGAAGCCCTAGACGTCGTCTTTAACGTCATCGTCTAGGACGTCTTCCTCGTCCTCGTCCTATCAAGAAGATATACCCACACTGCGCATACCCAGAGGGGCAGTACGCACATTTTCAGATTTAAGCACAAGCTATGAAGAAATTATCGGTTTCAGTATAGTTGGCCCATCGTCAATGATGGTAGTGAAACAACTTGAACATTAAAGAATTAAACAGAGAGAGAGGATTAAACGATTACATAGAATAGAAGCAGTCACTCAATTTCGAAGTGGGGTGCTACGATCGCGCAACGTGAATGTTTGCGGGGTAAACCTTTAAAAAAAAAACGTGTTTACTTCAAATTAGCCTCGCCGCATTCCCAGTGAGCTGAGTCGTGAGTCTCATAGCGAATACTGTCGTAATTTGTAGACAGCGAAAAATAGTGGTGTCTGCAGCCAGTTTATTATGAATATTGCCAATATCTCAAGATCTAATGCGTGCACGTGTTAAAGAGCTCATATTTTCTTTCCACCGCGAAGGCTGAGGCGCGCGAGCGTTTTTATATACGCGGTACAAGTGCCGCTCAGCTGTTGCACTGGCTCTGGTAATGCTTTTTTTCAAACAGCCTTTGCTAACACGCGGTTTCTATTAAGCCGGTCCAGATGAATCTGGAACAAACTTCTAGTGCGGCGAAAAGTCCGAAGCCGTGAAACCCTGCCGATAGCAAAATCATTGCGAGACGGTGTCTCAGAACGCTTAAGAGAAACGCTCAAAACATCAAATAGAAAGCGATGAATAATATTAAACTAACATAAATCTTAAAAAAAGAAAGAATTTGGAGCACCAAACAAATTACAAGACC